TTCACTAGATTTCAATACAAGCCGCGTTATAGATATTTTATTTTTTGAATTACATAATGTATATTACATTAAATATTTTAAACTAAATATTGCACATTTTTATGCATTTTTTWWAAATTATTACAAAAACAAATTTATTAGAAAAAAATCTACCATGAATCAAAAACAAAGTTTTGTTTAYGGCATTCATTACAATTATACAACATTTAAATCACATAACCTTCACCAAATTGTTTTTCCTAATTAATACACCAATATTGTACAGTTTTATTTAAGTTTAGACAAGCATATTATACGCATATATTTATATATGTAAATATGTAAATATGTTAATATATAGTATTATGTAATTATTTAACAAAAATTGCTTTTATGTACTTAAAATATTTGACTATACAAATACATATCTGTACATACAAAAAAAGTATAATAGTGGTAAGAATTATCTAATTTTTTATCTCATTAATATCTATAACATTAATATTGTTTTTCTAGAAAACAGTCAACAACGTTTGAAATTTATGTAAAAACATAAATTTTTGATAATAAATTTACAATATCATAATAATTTTAACAAATTTAATTTTGGTTTTTTTTTGAAAAAATAATTAAAACATACTAAATGTACGAAAGAATCTTGTAATACTTATAGGGTAACATTAACAAATGCAGCAATATATATATATTTATAATCAGAAAAGTAATTTATGATAATTCAGGAATCAGAACTTTAAGAATATGAATAAATAACTTTGAAACAAAATTATAAATTCAATAATGGTACAAATTTTAATTGTATGCAAGTTATTAAATTTTAAACGTATACTAAAATAATTTTAAAGCGTTTAAAAGGTTAAATTTAGAATCAATACTTAAAATATTTAACTCAAAATATGCGTTTATAGGTATCAAGAAAAAAAATACATAATAGATCATATTTAAGTTTCATAACACATTATTACTATTGACTATATTCTAGTTTAGAATAGTTTTTACACTCTAATTTGGGCTTCAAATMTATTTAATACATTATTGGCTTTGGGTTTTATTTCTTACTGAATAAAATATAAATTGTTAATACAAAAAAAAATGATACATTTTGATTAAAATTAATAAATTAAATGACGTAACAAATAGTTACATAACACATAGATAATGAAATTGACCTAATTTTAAATATTTCAGACATTTGCAAATGATATAAAATATGGATTTTTATAATTTAAGTTTAAAAACTGATGGCATGTACTTTATTTAGTATTTAGAAGTCCAAAAAAACAATAAAATACACTTGGATCTTTCAACTTTAGCACAAAATGTATTAATCTAAAAATGAATAAATTTGTTTACTACATAAAGCTTAATTTTATAATAAAGTTTTGTTTACACTCAACAAAATTAATAAATTAAAATWAAAAATACAAAAATAAAAATTATACCTCAATAAATTTACAAATAAAGGAAAACTATATTGAATACTAAGCGAGAAATTCCACACTTTGTTTTGTACAATTTTTCCTAACACCTTGGTTAAAAGGCTCAATTTTTTTCTAACTCATTGGTGAAAAGATATAATTTTTAAAACAAATTATGATTCTTTTCTCATAATATTTAAATATTTTAGCAAGCGTAAGGACTCACCAATTAAGTCTTTTGCATCATGAAAATAAAACAATGACTATTAACTGTTTGATTGGTCATTGAGTTTTAAACTCTTTAGCGATGCTGTAAGAAACAATTTTATTCCAATCGATTTTTGTTCTAGTAACTGGCAACTGACGACGGAGTGCCTTAAAAGTTGTTTCTGACATAGTTTGATAATTTTCTGTAATAGCTATTTGGTACTCATTCTCAGCATCTTCTGCTATTTTCAAAACTTCTTTCACAGCATCAGTCTTAGTTAAATAACATAATGTTAAAATTATATATTAAATATTATGATTATAAATAATTAAATCTTACTGTTAACGCAACCGATTCCTTTACTTCTTTAGATGCTACAAGTTGAACATTACCATTTTCATAATAATGAACATGAATTCGTAAGAATCCAAAAATATCTATATTAGTTGGCCCAACAGTAAGAGTCCACTGAGACCGCCAACGACCATTCCTTTTAATCCAATAAAAWATATATATATATATATAAATAATTAGGTTATCTCCCAATATGCGGTCTACYGCAAAAGTTGTCTCCCAATATGCGATCTACCACTGAAAATGCGGTCTACCAGAATAGACGTGGTTATTATACTAAATTGTAGTATTTCAGAGACCAGCACGGATAGGCATGTGTGGTATTATAAATATTAAATAATGATAATAATAATAATGATGTGGTACGGTACGACCCGTCGCTAATGAGGCACGGGAAATACATCCATACTYGAATTGTTTCGGACAAGGTAACAGACCATAATCTTGCAATTTAACACTTGAGGCCTCAGTTAAAAA